CTTCAGTGCTAGAAGGGAGTGGGGTTTGCTCTCTGTTTATATACAGTAGCTTGTCCTGTCAGTGTTGTTGGGGGTGTTGTTTTTTCCTTGGTACTTCCTAGATTAGGCTGTTGTTTACTGCTTGATTTTAGTTTCCTAAAATGCCTGGGGAGGAAAAAAAATGCTTTACCTGGTGCCCAAAGAATGATAATGTAGGCATCAGATAAGATTTTGGGGGGAGGTCATTCTAAGACCAGGCACTGCTATTCTGACCGTCAATCTCATGGTAACAAGGCCAATCATGTTAGCGTTAGGCAGTTTGTTTATTAATGAAAGACATACCCTTTATCGTCTGTCAGTAGTGTCACTGGTTTTTATGCACATTTATATTGGATTCGAAGGTGTACTGCAGTTGAAGTCTATTGTAATTAAAACTGCAATTCTTTACTCATTTAATCAGAATTAAATGAAGCTTACATAAAACAATATGTATAACATAAAAGAGTCAGATCTGGTGATAAAATTTTACATGTAGCTTCTGAGATTGTTATTTTAGGCTGTATGAATCCTTTTTGATTGCTTTAACATGTAATTTGTAGAATTTTGTAATTTTTACATTATTTTTATACATTCTATAAAACAATATTCAGTACAAAGTTGGGGTAAAGTGTTTAAAAGGTGAGCATGTTATAAACAGAGTAATTCTAGAAATACTTTTTCTGTGTTGTAGATTCTATCAAATTCGTGTATCTATGAAAATTCCTCCAAGAATACCACACAAAATTGAAGCAAGCTTGTTACGTGCAACTAGTAAGTGTGAATATTTCATTATTATTTAAGCTTTATTATTACTATTTAATAATACTTTTATTAAATAAGTTATCAGCTTATTAGGATTATGTTAGATAATTAAATCTTTTTAGTGAATTGATCTTAATATATATGAGAAATTTGAGCATATACGCATTTTAAGGTTTCTGAAGAAATGAAAAAAATTGAGAAAAGCAGCCAATGTGCATAATATACATATAAATAAGAATTAAATTGTAAATTATATTTGCAATTATTGTCTGTAGTTGTCTGTTGTGAGATTGTATAGAAGATTAACTGGATTTTGTGAAAAAATCATAAATCTTAAAGGAATTGTGGAGTCCTTGGGGTTCTCTGAGCTTGGTGGTTTTCTTGCGAACATTTCATTACCCAGCTAGGTAACATCTTCAGTGCTAGAATGGAGTGGAGTTTGCTCTTTGTGTACAGTGGCTTGCCCTGCCTGTGTTGGTATTTTTTTTTCTTCCTGGTAGTTCCTCGATGAAGGTATTGTTTACTGCTTGATTGTATGTCTGGTGATAATCTTGGTGTTAATCTCTGCTTATCTGGGTGATGATTGCTGG